CTGAAAAAAAAAAAAAAAAAAAAAAAAAAAACGGCGTTTTAATTTGTAGGCTTAAAAGCACGGAATGACCTATAATAAAATGAATATAAAAAAAAATTGGATTTTTGATAGAAATTTGAAATAAAAGTTGCAAATTAGGCGTTTTTTTTTTTTGTTTTTTGCTATAAAAAAATCGAAGTTTTGAAAATTTTCGATTGATAATAGTTCATTCCATGCGTTTACATATATTGAGTGTGCCCTGTAAATTTCAAGTAATTCGGTCCAGCCGTTTCTGAGATACAATGGAGGAAAGTTTGAAAAACACAGTTTTGAGAAAAACGCGTTTAAAGTTTCAAGTCCGTTAAAAACTATTAAAATATCAACTTACTCTCAATCGGCGATGCCTGGTCCATAGAGTATTCCTTCCTCTTCCTCGTGAAACTCTTTTAAAGCAGATTGTTCAGCTCTTGAGTCAATCCTGGCTTGTTTAACGACATCACTTACGCGCCGCTCAGAGCGTAAGATTCGCTTTTCATCCCGTTTCTAAACATACGCTTGGGCTTCACGACCAACAGGGCATCCCATAATCGACATAACTTTTAAAATACCTTGAAAACCTTCATTAAAGATAATAACTGCTAAGTAGCTAGCAATTTCAACAACTTTGGGACCAGAATGAAGATGTTTAGGAGCGAAAGTCCAAATCAAAGAATTCAAAGATTCGTTATTGTTTTGTGTCTCTGCTCCTAAACAACGAATTAATAATTCGTCTTTCGATAAATCTTCGAAAACCGGATTGATAGCTTCTTGGACTAGCGGAATTAGAGGTGGTTTATCGTGATGAAATTGGTCCAGTTCATTAGCTTCAGCCTTACGCCATTTACACCAACTGTTTCTTTTTTTACTACGACCAGGATGAACATTTCCACTCGTACTTCCTTTCCGTCCACTCATTATGAAAAAAAATAATTTGTAGCTGTTGCTCTCTTCGAAGTTCAACCAAGACTAAAATAACTTCGGTAAAATATTATAACAATAGAAATTTCTGTTTAAGTCTGTAGAAACGTGTCTAAACTTATAAACAAATATATTAATAAAAGGGAGGCCAGGTATAAAGCCGACGGTACACAATAGGCCCGGTCTCTAACTGCCAACTCACCGCTCCGAACCGCTCTTTCTTTTACCTGCTGTATCTTTAAAACGACTTCGAATTTTCTAAAATCGCTTTACTACCGTATTCTAGACATGTTAAGGGAGCAATTTATAAAAAAAAAAAAAACGATTTTTTCAACCCATCACATAGGAAGACCCCCTTAACCGGTGCCACTCGACTTTTTGACACTAGAAGTTGGACTTTAACTAATCCTTTATTATCTGTAGAACGAATATAAATGCATGCACCATATGCCGCCTCAGACGCGTCTGTAAAAACATGTATTTCGTTACATACATAATTGTCACATAATACCCATCTAGGTATTTTTAAGTTATTTAGACAGGGAAGGGTAGTTATTAAAGAAAGCCAGAGATCTTTTAACTCGTCAGATATAATGTCATCCCAATCATATTTACTAAGCCATAGCTTTTGCATAATTATTTTGGCTTCTACTATACACGGACTGACTAGACCTAACGGATCAAAAATCTGACTAATAATTGACAAGATATTGCGTTTTGTAATTTGTTTGTTTGTATCTATATAGATAGAAAGTACTAACGTATCTGAATCGCATAACCAACGCAAACCTAGCGTTTTACATGAAATAGTACTCTTTTCAAAAAATCTAGACTGTTTGAAGCCTCTGTAATACCTGAAATTTCAGTTAAGATTTGTAATGAATTAGACTGCCATTTTCGTAGATGAAAATTTGCAGAAGATAAAATAGAAATTACTTCCTTACTCATTTTGACCACCTCAGAAATTGAATTACCACCGCTTAGATAATCGTCGACATAGAAGTCACGTTCAATAGAAGTCTTTACGGTTTCATTACTTGATTCTGGTGATAAACTAACCAGACATTTCGTGGCTAAGTAAGGGGCAAGAAGCTGTGCCATAAGTTAGGGTATTAAGTCTGTATGTTTTTAAGGGTTCATTGGGATTCGATCTAAAAATTATCTGTTGTAAAGTACGGTGGGAGGAGTGATGTCAATTGCTCTATACATTTTTCTACGTCGCCAGATATTACATATTTGTGTTGACGAAAACGTAGTAAAATGGAGAACAGATCATCCTGGACAGTAGGCCCCACCATCTGAATATCATTGAATGATATTCCAGATGTGGAAGCAGCAGAGGCATCGAAGACTACCCGGAGCTTAGTTGTAGTACTTTTGGATTCCCTAACCACAATGTGATGCGGCAAAAAATACTCAATCTCGCTACTAGAATGCGGTTTCAATGGTGAAGTAATCTCAGTCATATCCCAGGCGCTCGTACTCTGCCATAAACTGAACGTATTTCTCTTTATAGTTAGGATCACGTTGAAAACGACGTTCTAAGGAAAGAAATCGACGTTTAGCCATTTCATAAGAATTACCTAACGTGTTACAGTTGTTTTTCAATGGATAAGTAACCATAAAACGACCGTCTTTGTTTCGAGTGGTATTAGTACGAAAGCTTTCCTCACAGGCTCGTTCTTCTGGTATCTCCAGTATATTTTAAAGGAACCAACTATACCAACTATATTTTAAAGGAACCGAATCCAACTCCCAGAATTTATTTAAATTTAAGTTTAATTCATTAGTTTGTAGATTACAATAATGCGATTGTTTCGTTGAGAAAGACTTTGAAGAAACAATCACAGGACCGGTAACTATCCAACCGAATTTAGATGCATATAATGTAGGTTGGTTTTTACCGAGTTTAATAGATGCACTACCGAGAACCGCCCAAAATACTTCAGCACCAACTAATATGTCAATAGCTGACGGACAATAGAAAGAAGGGTCGGCTAACTGTAAATTTGAAGGTATAGGAATGTTGCGAATGTCAATTGAAGCTGGAGGTAACAGTTTTGTAATTTCAGGCAGAATATAGCAGTCAATATTAATTTTAAAATTGTCATCTCGTGATATAATAGTAAGATTACAAGATTGTGTACTACTTGATGTTTGACTATTTATACCTGTTATTGTGGAGTTAATGTTCCGCCGAGGCAATCTCAGCTTGTTACTAAGCGTCTGCGTAATAAAATTGGCTGTGCTACCATTATCGAGTAGGATCCTGGCGTCGAACTTCTCACCGTCATCGCTCACAACCTTCACCATAGCTGTGGACAGTAAAATAGAAGAAGTAGTATTCTGTATGATAGTGTCACAAGATAAAGCGACATTGCCTGTTGGACAATTAGTAGAAGAAGAAATACCGGCAATGTCAATAGGAAGGGCGACACTACTACTACTACTAGGCATAGAATTATTAATAGACATAGACATGGTCTGGTCATCTACATGCAAGAGAGTATTATGCTTTCCTTTACAATATTTGCAGCGTGATAATCTACATCTTGATGTGATATGACCTGTGCGTAAACAATTCATACACACATTGAGTTCCTTTGCTTTACAAACTCGTGATTCTATAGATAGATTTCTGAAAGATTCACATGTATATAATAGATGGTATTTAAAACAAAGGGGGCATTTTAATGGGGTTTTATTGTAAGAAATTTGGTTTGAGTTTTGATTATTGTTATGATTGTTATAATTATTAGTGGCAACTATGAAGCTTTTTTGTTTATTATCTAATTTATGTATTATTTTATGATTTTAATTATTGTTTTCTAATGTTTCTAATAAATCTGCTTTGTTGCTAATGAATTTACAAAATTGTGATAAAGTGGGTGCAGTATCCAATGTATTGCGATACTCCTCCCAGTTCCTACTAGAGATGGGATCTAATTTGCATGACATCAGATACACCATAAGCGTATCCCCAGAATCCGTGGGCTCGTTCAATGTTTTTAACGCTCTAATATTTTTATTAATGCTATCTATGAGTGAACGTAACGACAAATGTGATTCTTTTGGCAGCGTATCAACATTGAACAGTGCCGGCACGTGGTTATGCACTAAAAGTCTACTGTTATCATACCGATCACATAGTAAACTCCACGCCATTTGATAATTGTCTCCTTTGAAATCAATATTCTTAATTATTTCTTTTGCGCTTCCTTTTAATGACGCACGAAGGTAGTGGAATTTACTAATGTCATCTATCGGGCTACTATTATGGATAAGCGATAAATATGTCTCTCTATACTCTAGCCAGTAATTACAACTACCGTCATAATGAGGTAAATTGATGGTCGGCATGCGTATAAAGCCATTTTGGAACGATTGACCTGTGTTTTTATTCGAGGAGCCCGCTACAGACCCGCCGTCACCACCGGCGCAGGCAGCATTGCCAGTGCCAAGTAGTAAACGCGCCTGCGCAGCCAATGAGTGATACCGTTCCTCGAACTTGGTTCGCTCTGCATACGCTCCTTCTGGGTTATCCGCAAGTACTTCGATCTCCAACTGTAATTCATCGAATTCACCAAACAATGCATCGAATTTACTTAGACGGCCTTCCAACTCAATGCGTTGGAGGTCCGAAATAGTTTCACAGCTGAGAAGTACAGTAATAAAATTACTAAAATTAGTTAATTTAGCTTTCATAGCACTGCGTTTTCTACATAATAAATCTTCGTTATTTGCCATTGCTAAATAAGTTTTAACTTAATATAACGAAAAGATTATAAATTAATATCGAAAACTAAATTTAGAAATGAAAAAGAAAAGTTATATATGTATATAAAATATGTAAAGATGCTATTCAATTATAATAACTGCGTAGTAACACGAGCAAAAGAAATAATTTCTATTGAATAGATAAGCACGACCTTGACCGCGAGTGAAGTTACGGTCAGCTGCAGCGTAGTGCAAAGTCCATGCGGTGCAATAATGCAAGCGTTAGCCAAATGTACCTACGAATATTGATGCGAGATATTATCTATACGCACGCTTAATACAATCGAATATGTATAATATAAAAGTAAGCAAGATGCGTTTAAATATTAGATATATTAAATATGGATATAGGTATTGGCGACTACTGACTTATTTTGAAGTAGTGAAAGAAGGAAAAAAAAAGAATAATTGAAAAATAAGCACCAATTACACGAAAGTATGCGGAGATTATATAGAAAGGAAATAATTGGAACAGACTCACTAGATGTTGTCCTTATCCACAAGAATTGTCCTCAGTATATGTATAGAAGTTTCTCGAAGTGAAGGCAGGATGCATCAATTTGTAATGTTGTCTTGAATTTCTACACCACTGTCGTTTGAAGGCCTCGGGAATAATTATTATATATTCTTCTCCTTATATAATGCGACTTCGATGCGCCGTAGAAGCGATGACACGTCGTATTCTCGTAGCACTTATTGCAATGCCCAAGTTCAAACTCCAACGAAATTCCAATGGTATTGGTATAATCTTGCGGGTTACTTAAGGCCAGTCTGATGGACCAGTTTGTTGATGACTCGTAAATAAAATAAGTAGTGGACTGTAAGTTATTATATTTAATACGAGGAGTTATAATATTACAAGGAACATTATCTAATTAATAAGGTACGCGTGCGGTGACGTCGTAGGCGCAAGGCAAAGTGAAAGGTGTCCCGGCCTAGCGGCTGTCAATAGCTCATGTTCGATAGCGCTCGAACAGATATTATATTATATAATAATATAATCTGAAAGGTCGAGTCATTTATCATTATCATCATTATTACATTATCCAATTAAAATTGTTATATATCTTTCTTAACACTTAACTGTAGTCTCATATATATGTATATATATATATATATATATATATATATATAAATATCCCCTTGGGCACTTTGTGGCTCAGACGTGCCGTATAGGTAGTTTTTTGTTGATCCATTTTCACTTGTTGATCCGGAGGCCTTTTGTTGATCTAATGCCAGCTGACCATATATAAATGTTGATCCGTTTTGAGCCACAACTGTCACGACGAGTAATAATAATAATTAAGCGATTTATACACGATTTTATACAAATCCACCTTTTTGGCATACGAGCAGTTCTTGAGCCAATTCAAACGGGCCAATCAGGGTGCAGCATTTGCCAAGGGCTTCCTCATTGGCACGTTTGGGCTACTACATTATGGCTACAGTAACTTAATAATGTCTAGCTAGTATTTCAAGAATAATAGTCTATCTAATCTAAATATTTATAGAAATCAGTCTGGAGTAACGTGACTCCAGATCAAACCTCAATACTTATTATTTTTTGGACGGGAATCTTTTCTTTTGTAACAAAGTTACTGAGCGAATAAAGAGAAGACGCAACGGCGGATCCAGGGGGAGCGTCATGGAGGTCATGGGAGTCATGGGGGCGTCATGACTCTCCCCCTTAGCCCAGGACTTAGGTAGACCACTAATTGAACTAAAAAATAATGAAACAGCAAATTTTTTTGCACGATCGGAGTGTTGGTGCAGTAGTATTAATTATAATTAAACATTGTTACTTAAAATATAACAGTTAAAGTACTATAACACTAAAAGCAAAATAGGTATTTTCAAAATACTTTTTCAAAATAAATTACCCTTTGAGTTTTTGTCCAAACCTCAGATATTTTATTTATTTTAGGTATATCAATCATTACATAGTATAGTATAAAACAAAGTCGCTGTCGCATCTAACAAGTACATAAATAAAGAAACAAGACTTTTTGGCTCTGAATATATTTCAAAAATCAATTACTTGTGTTAATCAATTTATATACTCGTTCTTATTTCATAGTACTTGTTTTGATCCGAATATATACAGATACCGTAACGGTCTATTAATTATGAATTTATTATACCTAACCTAGATATTTTATTTTGACGAAACTCCGTGTAGTAGTAGTATCCGATAAGGGTATGCGAACCCTAAGTATTATTTCAAAATGACCAGTAATTTCGAAGAAATAAGCCTTTGAATTTCAAATCAACTTACCAAACGGACGCTCAAGGTTCGATTCCCGCCACCGATTTTTTTTTGTTATTTTTTTTTTGTCTTTATTCTAATTTTAAATTAACTATTTTAATAATTAAATGAATTTAATCGAACAAAACGTTGTTAAGTATTCAATTAATTTTAATTTACATTACCTATTGTACTTTCTAAATTGTAAAGCAGCTAACAATTATAGTAAGATCTTATAAATAACTAACACAACAAGTAAAACATTTTAAATGTATTTTCTTTATTATTACAAATATTTTTTATGCATAATATAATAGTTAATATCTAATAAATACATAATGATCTGATAATCAAATTATAAGTACAGTCTCAAATTGAAAGTAAGAAAAACAGAAAATATAGAGAGAACTATAGGGATATAACAGAAAGATGTGAAAAAAGGAGAAGGACAGTAAAAAAGTTACAAATTTAAATAATGTTCCCGCAATTTCTGTTTAAATGAATTTATTACATTATTATATATATTAGGCATACGACTAGCCTTATGACTGTTACTTTTTTAAAATCTATACATCTATACATGTAAATAAAATTGGAGTGTCTGTTTGTAATATTGAAATAACCGTTTTTACTACTTGCATATGAATATAAATCCGGTACATACACCAAAATAACATATTTTACAAGTTTTGTCTGTCTGTCTGTCTGTTTGTTCCGGCTAATCTCTGAAATAGCTGGACCGATTTTGACGGGACTTTTTTTGGCAAGTAGCTGATGTAATAAGGAGTAACTTACGCTACTGTTATTTTAGAAAAATAAAATAAAATTTCACGCGGACGAAGTCGCTGGGGTTAGTCTATAGATATACCGAGATTTAATATTTAAGTTGCTATTATGTTGTTGACAAAATTTTACTGTAATGTTACTATTACGTTATCCTACACAATTTGTATTATTTTGGATGAATAAATAAATAAATAAATAATAATCTATACATCTATACATACAAATAAAATTGGAGTGTCTGTTTGTAATATTGAAATAACCGTTTTTTACTACATGCATATGAATATATATAAGGTACATATACCAAAATAACAATTTTTATAATTTTAGTCTGTCTGTCTGTCGGTCTGTTTGTTCCGGCTAATCTCTGAAATGGCTGGACCGATTTTGACGGTACTTTTTTTGGCAGGTAGCTGATTTATAAGGAGTAACTTAGGTTACTTTTATTTTAGAAAAATAAAGTTTAATTCCACGCGGACGAAGTCGCGGGAAAAGCTTGTTTTTAATAAAAACATCTTTTTTGTGGTACTTGAGAATGTTGAAGCCTGTTGTTTGTAATATTGAAATAACCGTTTTTTACTACTTGCATATGAATATAAATACGGTACATACACCAAAATAACATATTTTACAATTTTTGTCCGTCTGT